CCTTTTTTGGAACATCGAAACTCCACATAGTTTACTGGCTTTGCTGCTGCTGTTTTGGGTAGCGAGCGAGTTCAAATAGGTTCAACAGTAACCTTTTAGACGTCAGCGTGTGAAGAACAGAGTCTGTGAACTGAAATAGTAATGGAAATAATAAAAAGGTATTCGAGGGGGGAACTTATTTGAGTGGATGACACAGCCATGTATGAATTGGGGCGTGATGTCTAGTTCAGGAAGAGCAACGATTGAAGGAAATACGGTCATCAGTTTCTGGGTATAAACGTCGTCATGAAACGACTTAATATTAGCTTAATAGTTGAAAAATTGTATATTAAAAAAACTGGGCATATTTTCCCCCCCAAAATTGTAGAAGTTTTAATTGCCTTCGACGTTTCATGATTAAAACAAAAAAATTTGGTCCAGTCTAAGTGATTTTGGAGCAAAGCAACATATGATTATTTACTTGAAAAATTTCAACTTTCTTCTCAAATTTAAAAAAATATTTCATACTCCTTTGACAGTTTTAGAGGTAAGCAAGGACAAGGTTCCAGTTATGATGGAAATCTCTTTCCAGAGTGGCAACATAACCAGAATTTTTACGAGTTGAAATGCATCCTTTCACTAGCCTATGCTAGCTAGAGCATCGTCATAATTACAAAAGCTATTTATATTTTAAAAAAACACTTCTATGCCCTGAATACAAAACAATCCATTGAAAAAATATTGTGGCTTCGAAACCTCTAAGTTGTAAACTGTGTAACAAATAATGTTTACCGTTCCACAAAAGCTAACATTAGACTGAAGCCTCATATTTGCCCAAAGTCGTCGTGTCCTTTCGGGGGAAACGTTCATTCACAGATAACAAATGAGCAAAGTTTTCGCTATCGTGACTCGTCATAGTAGCTGTTTATGCGAACATGTCTGCGTGTTTACAATTTGTCCCTTAGTTTCAATTTACCAGGCCAGCTCATTATTCTGCCCATTTTTTTTTCCCTGCGAGTCAGTTGCCCAAAAAAAAAAATCTCCCAGCTGCAGCAATTGAAGCCATCGTGTTCACTTTGCAAATGTTTGGCCCGTGCCCAGTCGTGCACTGTATTTATGCCATCCAAACAAATCCTCAAATCTCTTTCCCCGGGTGCTCGGGATTAGAGTCCGCCGGTTCACGCGTTACTGTTCGTACTGTCAACCGCAACTGGGTACAAGAGTACAGGTGTCATTCGGGTTTCGGCTCGATTTGCATCCAGGGTTTCATTTGATTATGTTTAATGGTGACCGTGAAGCACATTCTGGCAGTTTTATTGCCAATACAGTACTCTATTACCTATCGTCATTAGCCACCTGTCCCGGCTGTTTGTGGCTCTTGTCTCCATGGCAACACTTTTGTGTCGAGTGACGGTCGGCCTGTCTTTCAAAACGGGATCCGTGTGGGCAAACAAAATAATAATAATAATACAACAAAAGTTCATTATGGGGCGTCTCATCAAAGCAGCGAGCCAACATCCCTTCTGGCTCGTCTGATCTCTCGCGATGATTCATGCAAACTACCGGGGCAAACGGGGAGGCTTGCGACAGAAAAAGATGTTTTTCTCAGGTGAATTCGGTGGGAAATTGTACAAAAGCTGAGGCGCTGGATTCATTTTCACCGTGTGCCTCCAAAAAATGCTTCGAGCGGTGAAGAGGAGGGGCTACTCCGGCTCCAACAGAAGAAAAAAAAAAGTTTGAACATGGCTTGTTCATTTACAATATTTGTATTTCACCAGGTTATGATTGCGCTGCCGCGTGGGGCAGTTCGAGGAGCGACTCCACCGTTGCAGCTCCGAGACAAAACGAGCTGCAGCGTTGTCTTTTAAACGTACATTTTATTCATTCTTTAAAACTCCCAAACGAATACAAACACTTTTCTCTTCGGCAAAGTGACTTCCTTTCTAAATTCGGCTCGAGAGGCGTTCAAAGACCGCCTCAGAACAAACGCAAATCAATGATAGCTTCAATGGCACTAAGAAAATTAAAAAAACTGTGCACCAAAACAGAAAGTCCAGCAAAATAAATTCTATGTGAGTGTTTGTGAACACACAACAAAGGAACAATTCTCACATCGACATGGACACAATTCTGAACCCGTCCAGTCTCCTACGCCACTGTGTAACCGCAAGGGTAGCCAAAGATCATAACTAGCTAGCTGGTGCGGCACGAGTGGTAGCCAGACAAAGATCGTAACAAGCTAGCTGGTGCAGCAAAATGCTAATTTTACTACTACACTGTGAATCCACTTAGATTAGCCTTACATAAAACGTTTCCATTCTTAATTTTATTTCTGGCCATGGAAATCAGCTGCAAAACTGTAATCCTGAACTCTTTTCTGGACATAATCCCTTAAAAACAAACGAATGAAGTAAAAGTAAGTGAATGAAACTTGTAAATCTACATAAAGTCACTCAAAGGATCCCATTTAAAAAAAAAAAAAAAGAATATGGCAGCTGAGTTGACATATTTCCAATACGCTTCAAATCGCAAAGTCCCTCCACAATTAAGTCTCTAGTTTCTTTTTTCACATCATTGTGTACATCACTACTCATCGCTTTTGACACAAATGAATCATTGGAGAGCCTAAAAGTGACAAGCCAACGTCCAGGACGTTCATCTTCTTGCAGGTTCGACCAAACCTCATTACTGAACCACCATGGGGAAAAAAATAATAATAATACACTCGACACCAGATTTAGTTTTCCAGTGCAACATACAAAGTACAGACATATTGTTGTTCTGCCATCACAATGCCCGCCATAGAGCAAATGCGTTCCGCAATGATAGTCAAAGATCTAATCCCTGATTTGCTTGGAGCGTCTCATCAACGGTTGGGTGCTTTTTGCATTTTATCTGCATGATGACACGTTAGATGGCTCGCATCCCCGTCGGCTTGTCGCAGATAAGCTAGTGATGTCATTCTTTCCACGCGATGACAATGAGATACACATAGAGGATCCGTGAAGGCAACGTTTACGGTCTCATTCGAGCACTGAGGAAGTTGGCGCTTGCGCTTCGCTGCTTCAGTGTTTCATCCGCTCTCGCTATCACGCGTAGCCTCTTTATATGGCAAGGAAGCATATTAAACGCAGGGCCAACATTGACAAAGTAAATACAGTGACTTATCGTTCGGGGAAGCGTTCCAGACCTACCTGCAGTCGGTGAAAATCCGCAATACGGTAACACAAAGAAGCAATTTGCGTTTGGCAGACTATTTGTCATGACAACGCTTCTCGGCAAAACATCTTAGCGTTTATTATTCTTTTGAATAATTTGTAAGAAACATTAATTTTTGGAATGGGTCAATGTCAATGTAAAGTGCTTTTGGTGTCCTCATCGGAATCACTCGGTCGTCACGAAAACGAAGCAGACTAAGGAAAAGTGAATTCTTATTAAAAGAGGCCAAACAGCTGTACGGTAGATTGATAAGTCTCGAAGAATGTCTTGCTTTTGTTTATTTTTCTTGTGTCATATTTCTGAATGAAAGACAACATATATAAATAGGACAAATGACCCACATATCAGCAGAGCTCCTCGATCAAATCTACTGAACTCACGTTGCACCACGACTTAGACCTGCTCTGAGCTGATCTGAAGTCTAGTCGACATCCAGTCCCCAAATTGTGCGCGCCGGCGGCGTGTCAAAGAAAACACCCTCAGTCTGCCGAAACACCCAGCATGGTGCAGCGCGGGCTATCAAATTCCCTAACATGGTCAACAATTTCGCCCTGGCACGGAAATCAAAATGCGCCAGTTTTTATGCCGAGCGCAGTGGCGCTGTTTACAGAAATAGAGCCCAAAGTGGCAACTTCATAATTTAATAATTTGACAATCTGGTGCCTCAGAAGCATTTAAACACGCTTTCCGACTGTATAAAATTTATTGCCATGTAGCTTTGCTATAAAAGCGCAACAAACTACCAAATTTCATTACTTTCACCAAATGTTGTTCCACATGCTTTAAAAATGTTTCATATTTTGAAAATATTCCTCGGTGGCTGTTCTCACTCTCTCATTCACGCAGTTCTTCCAAAAAAAGAGTCAAGCCTCAAGCGGTTTCTTTGTCACTCCCAGACGTACCGTAAAACTGACAAACAAAACTAAGGAGAATGAAACATTTAACCTCGAATCAAACATACGAGACAACACATGGAAAAGCATTGAAGGCCTGCCGCCTTCCACCTGCATGCTAAAAGAAAAGTTCTCAATGACGCGAATAGAAATGCGATAACGTTGGCCGATCCGGCTGATTCGTATCCCTAATGTAATCCTGTTTTCAAGTCCAATTGACTTTGCCCTTCACAAAATGTTTTGGGACTCACCTCCAATGACTCGGGAGATTAAATGAAGAACAATGGCGGCATTTAACATTCCCGCCGTCATCACAATACTCATTGTCTGCTCAGGTTCCCTGACACACGATGTCCGCCTTGTCAGGCGTGTAGAATATAAACCATGATGTTGGGATTTTTTGG